GAACTCTCATATATATATATATATATACACATGGTGGGGGACCCATAAATTGCAGGATGCCTATATATATAGTAAGTTTGTTTTGGGGTTTTGTTGCTGGAAGTGAAGGCATCCTGCAATTTATGGGTCCCTCACCATGTAAGTTATTATTATTATTATTATTATTATTTTATGGCAAAGTTCAAGTGGTGTCTCTTCTTTCTTTTCTAGCGAAAGTTGAAGGCTCAGGTACCCAATAAAACAAATGGTGTGTGTGAACCAAAAAAAAAAAAAAAAAACACACTCCCACACCCCATTACCCTAGTTCAACTAGCTTGAATATTTTGATTTCTCTCATAACCTTGGTTCATAATTGGACTTGATTAAAAATTAAACATTGATTATTTTAGTCCAAACAATCATCAAGATCATTATTGTCTTAATTCTACATGAATAGAATCCGCAATATGAATTTTTTCTCCTATTTTTTTCATTGCATGCTATTTCACTTGCTATGTTTAATTTAAAGAGTCATTTTTAGTAATCCATTCCATATTACTTTTGGACAACCTATTCACCTCTTTCCTTCTATTTCAAATTTACAACTAGTCTTCCTCAGTTTACCGGTGCGTCCCTACTCCCTAGGTATCCGGTATATGCTCACTAATGGGTAGCACCTATAGAAAACACACAGATCTGTGCCATTAATGAGTTTTTTTTGGATTTTTATTTTTCTCTGAATTTCCCTAATAAGTTCAATCTCTTGATGATTAACTTTAGACACAAAACGTATATCAAACTCATTAATTTGATTAATGTTATGTTCCAAAAAAAAAATAGTTCATTAAGAAGAAACAATTTTTCGCTATTCAACAAGTCTGTTAGACTCCGAGGCTTCAATATAAATTTCTCTATCAAATTCAGTTTTTTTACAAATATATATATATATATATATATATATATATATATATATATTAGAAGAATTAGACGACTAAAAAACTCACAAATTCATCATTAAAGGCATCAAAAGACAAATGATCACCACAAATAATATGTATTCAATAATTGTTTCATTGTCAGAATCATCAGTAAACAAGTAATAGTCTTGAGCTCCGCAGTTTTTCATGGGAGACCCAATTTCAATTTCCATACTTTTCCTCTAATCCATAATATAAAGTGTTTCAAAAACCAATATTCTAAATACCATTTTTATCAAACACATTCTTAAAAAATATCTCACTCACTACTTTCAATACTTTGAACAACTTGCTCTTATACCATGAAGGAGTCACACACCCACAACATGCCCTTCCCAATTGGCGGCTTGAATTTGGAATGCTTCTTGTGTTTGGGAGCACGGCGCCTTGGATTTAGAATTAAAAAATAAAAATAAAATAGTTTAATGTCTTCATTAAATTTTTTAAAATTCTAAATTCAAACGGTCAATTTAGTGCTTCCACACGTAATCAAGAAAAACAGTGAATATCTCTAACTTTAATTTGATTGATATAGTATGTGATACTTTTTAATTTGAGAGGAAGAGCATTGGTGATAATGGGCCTCTTTGTCCAGCCCACTGAACTAGCATGAATTTGCAGTTGGGCCTCCCAAGGTCTTGATCCCACCATTTTCAGGGTAGGCCTACAGGTTTGACCAGTATTAAGTGGAATGGGACCAGTGTAAAATGATCCACTTAAAGCCTTGAAGTGAATCATTGTTGGTCAAATCCATAAAGCCATACCTCCAACAACAACAACCAATTCAATGAAACAAGGGCCACAAAAACCATATGCTTACATCATTCCATCTACATCATCGACTAACCAAGATAAGATCAATTATTATCACATCGGTAACAAAAATAATCAGTTGGTAACAAAAATAATACAAAAGTTAGCCATTATAGTAGTAGTAAGTAGTTTTACCGGCTAGCTTAACCCGGAAATAGTCTGTAACAAAAATCAATCCACAAGTTAGCCATATAGTAGTAGGTTAGCCATAATAGTCTGTACCGGCTAGCTTAGCCTGGAAATTGTCTACAATCGTACCAAAAAAACTGTTATCGAATTCCACCATTATCAGACCCGGAGAGTTCAGAATATGGAAAGGGTTCCGGGTATCCCATCTCTTCGGAGAGATGACAACAGGTTCAGAGGTTTGGAACAAGGGACTTCAAACAAATGGAGATATGACCTGATTGCTTCATTCTGAAGTTGTAAAACCTTGTCCAAAAATAAAGGTTTCAAATGGATCATCGAATCTCTTGATGTCTTTACATCATTTTAGATACTTAAGAACTGCAGAAACTTCAATTTTATTTATAAAAAAAAAAATTAAATTAAATTAAATTAAATTCCCCAATTATGCCACAAGTTTTTTCATTAACAATTTGGATCAAGTTCAACATCTGTATTTAGATTGTTAGAATGTCTAAGGAGCTCGTGTTTTAACTGTCATGCTCAGTACTTGGAGAAAAGATCAGATTATTACCTAATTGATGGATCATATACATTCAACTGAGCACTCACTCAAATACCCATTCTCTAGTTTCTGAAAAGAGCTTGATGTGACGAGTTTTGGAGTCTCTCTCACATTAAAGATCTTGGATTTCTCAAGGGGGAGAACCCCACAGTTATTTAGGTCTTTTCAATGTTTAATTGCTCGCGACAGTGGGTATCAAAACCTGCCCAGGCAGCATATGCTCATGAAACTAGACTGAATCTCTAGGCATAATCTCCGTAAACAAAATTACAATTTGCTAATGATTCTACTCTTCGGTAGAGCATTGAAGTTCAGTATCGATTTTGATGATCCTAAAACATCCAAATGACTTCTTTAAAGGGAGGAACTTCGAATGATGGCAATGGACGAAGCGACTGTAGGTGCAGCAACCATGGCGGCAGTGGAAAAAATAGTGGTGGTGGGAGACAGCAATGTGTACTAATGACATTGTAGGCAACAAGATTAAAAAAAAAATACAGTATAACAATTAAAATAGTAAACGCAGCAATAGAAGAAATGGCAGTGGAATGGTAGTAGCAGCAGCCGCAACAAAAGGCAGAAGCTGAGGTTATTGTGGCAGACGTACTGGTAAGTTGTAACTATGGTGGGTCATCACTTCATCTAGGTGGTTGAGAACCTGTTCTAGGGAGTAACTGGTGAGTTTTTAAAGCTGTCGCTTGAAAAAACAGAAGATAAGCTTCATAAGTCATTTTCATGATTCCCGGAACCATCAATATCATAGTCGACTTGTGAAAGCATCATCTACAACTAATTCTTCAAAAAAAATAATTTTCATTAGAAAGACTTTTACAAGAATCCATCAATGGCCATGCCAACATAAGCAAAAATCCAGAAATAACCATGAGGGAATGAGTTTTACATTAGCAGTATTCAGATGATTATAGCACCTTAAATCATGCCAGCCCAGTACCACGAAAATCACACAAGCAGGCAAATCATGTATAGTTATGCAAAGCTCTAATAAGTTCACAGAAAAAACAAAATGCAGTACTCATTTTGGATATAGTGATCCATTGGTATAACGGATTTACACACTTTGCCGAACCACATAAAACCCCTTGCCTCCGTTCTCATTGTTTCTCTAATGGTACAATGGTTTAACCTTTTGAACTAAGGGCCTGCTTACTAACAGAAATGATTCCTGATTTCTGCTGTCAATTCCTAAAATTGAGAATCAAAAGTAAAAATCATGTTTAATAAAAAACTTTTACTTTTTAATTTTAAGAAAGTACTTTTTAATTTTGTGAAGGGAAAGTGAGAAATCCTCACTCTCTCTATTTTCTACATTGTTTGTAGAAATTACTTTCTCTACTGTAGCACTATTTATCCAAAATAAAAAATAAAATCTAACTTGCTATCTTTATCACTCATCTTCTCCACCCACCTCCTCCCACCATAGCCACTGCCACAGCCATCTCTCTTCTCTCTCATACACATCAAAAGCCGTCAACAATATATCCAAATCAACTTCAACCAGTCACAGAAAAAAGAAAAGAAAAAAAAAAAAACTGAAAGAGCAGACCCTCGCCGTCCACAACCACCACCATCATCGCCACATCCGAAATCTTCTTTGGTTTATGTTAGAACGCTCTCTCTCTCTCTCTACAAACACTCCCGATAAAAAGAAGTGAACAGAATCTTGAACTTGCAAGCTCCCCAGTTCTATATGCACTTTCCAGATGACAAAGTTTCGGTCGAAATAAAATGCTTCCCCTGTTCCTTCTAAATCAGGAATCAAGGTCTTGCAGTGATGATATATATATATATAGTTAGTATATAACATTGATTATCAATTTAGAAAACAAAATCAAAATTATAATTATTAAACTTGCTTTGTAATTTCTTGTTTTGAAATATTGAAAGCATGGTAAATTAGTAAACATATTTTTACTTTATATTTCAGATTCAGAAATGAAAATTATGATTTTACTTTTGGAGAAAGCAAAAATAAGATATTCGGCTGAAGACAGCTGCAAGCGAAGTTTACTAGTGTGGGATCCGAAAGGTCCATCACAGTTGCAATCTTTTATACCATGTAACATTAGATATATGTTGAAGAACAGCCTAATCACTACAGGCACTAACACAAGGGTCTGAAAGCTGGACCAAACCACTAAACTGCAAAAGGCAACTTCAATGGGGCACTAATCTCCTTCAGAAAATATTTACATGATCATCAAAGAATAAGAAAAAGGTCTTATTTTGATTATATTTAGTACACTGCAGTATCAGAAACACTATGATCTCATACTACTTACTAATCTGTCAGGAGAAGTATTATAGGATCTATTTATCGAAAAAAGAAACCAGTTTCATAGGACCAACCTTATCACGATCCATTCCCCAATATTAATAGGATAAAGTCAAGTTGACATCAAAATTTAGTCACAAATTCCCTGATTCCTATTCCAATTCCAAATTTCCAATCAATTAAGAATGTTCCTAAAGCCATTAATCCCTTCAATCTTCAATCACACACATACGCATGAAGGAAAAGATAAAGAATAAATAAGCATTAAAATTTCATAATTAGAAATGGTTCCTACATATGCATAAGTACTCTAAAACAACAACAAAAAAAAAACATATAGAGAACATAAAAATAGACTTTGGGGCATCCAAGATTCTTACTCTACTAAGATACATGATTGGGCACATTACGCAACAGCTGCTGCGAACCTCGAATCCCTAACATCAGCATTGAAACAGCCATAACTTGGCATCATATATAATACCTAACACCCAAACACCTCCAAAGATCAGCAGAAAACTGAGCACCAATTCAATCCACTCACCTCAATTCCCTTCATTCCCTTCCAAATCAATTCGACTGTGAATCGCTCTTCCTCCCATTTCCATCCCCTCCTCCTTCTCTCTCCTCCAACAACCTTCCAGCTTCTTCCTCATCCTGCTGAGCTTTCTTCTGCCCATCTTTTGCCTTCAAAGCCTGCAACTTCGAATGATTATAATATCCCACACCCAAAAAGGCCAACCCATATCCGAACAAGTTAATCGGAGTCACTGTATCCTTAATCACAGACCACGAAAACGCAATCAACAGCCAATCCTTCACCACCCCAGCCACATTCATAGTCAAAGCAGAGGTCTTCCCAACAAGCAAAAACACAGCCAAATTCAATGCGAATGCACAGAAAGAATTGGTACCAAAAATCACAAAATCGAAATGAAACCCAGAAGTCTCCTTCAAAACAGGGTATTCAACAAAAACCCATGGCACAAACAAGAACACCAAGCAACACGGAGCAACATAGTAAAGCGAAGTAATAGGATTCAATGTGATACCCTTTGATGTGAGCAAGATCTGAATCATCACCAACCGAGTCGCCTCGAATGCGACAGCACCCAATTGGAGAAACACCCCCCACGAATCGAATTTGGCCTCTCCGTAGGCAGCGATCGCAACCCCAATTGAGATCGACACCATGTTCGCCATTGTTTCCGATTTGAAGCCTTCTTTCTTGAAGAGAATTCCAATGGTATACACAGCGACGGGCATGAGGGCTTTGAGCATTTGAATGAAGGAGACGGAGAGGTAGATGTAGGCGGAGTTGGAGAGCCAGAGGCTGAGGGAATAGAGAGCTCCGATGGGGACGACGGAGGAGAAGTACAGGTCACGTGACATGGAGACGGGTTCGACGAGCGAGAAGACGCGGACGCAGAGGACGGCTAAGGTGGAGCAAAAGGCCATGTGGATCATGGTGAGAGAGATCGGGTACGGCCAGTTGTAGAGCTTGCGATCGAGGATATACTTGTTGTAGACGATGACGGTGAAGCTGAGGAAGATCCAGATGGCCACGTAGGTGTAGGAGAGGAGGATCTTCTTGATCACGCCGTCGGTGAGTGCGGACCCTTTGCCCATTGTGTGAGGACGAACGCAGAGGAGAGAGAAACAGATATATATATAGAGAGAGAAACAATGGTGGGTCTGTGAAATGGAGTTGGGTTGAGGAGGGTGTGCGTAGGATAAGCAGGAAGGGAGCGTTGGATTAGAGGTAGAGGAAGGAGTCAGAGCTTGTAAAGAGAGAGAGTTTTTCAGTATTCAGGCGTCTTTAGTTTAGAGAGAGAGGGATATGTTTATGTGGAAAAAGGGTACAGTTATAAGCAGAAGTAGTAGCTTACTGGGCGTTTGATGTTGGGCTTGGTCAAATATGGACCCACTAGAGAGGGAACTAATAATAATCTCCGTTTCTATAATAATTCTTTTTTCTTTGTTTTAAACGTTTTTTAATTAGTGTTTATTTACATGGAAGGATCAAAATAATGAACATACAAAGGAGTGGGATTGGAGTATTTTGAAATATTTAGGGCATGTTTGGGAAGTGTATTGTGATGTAGTGTACTGTTCTAACTTAGAACAGAATAAGTATTTTATAGTGTGATGTTTTGAAATGAGGACAAAACATGTTTGGTGTTCCAAGTTTGCTCTACCGAATCATGGAACAAAAACATATTAGAACATGTTTGGTAATGTATATTGTTCTAAGAAATATGAGAATAAAACATGTTTGGAAGACTGAAAGTGTAACCAAAATCAGTAGAATGAAAAAATAATTAAATATATTGAATTAAAAATATTTTTAAATAATATTTTCTTAAATACATTTTTCTAACTTTATTAACTATAAAGTTAGAAAAAATGATTGTATAATTTTAATATACAATTAATATAACAAGATGTGTGTGTATATATATATATATTGTTCCTCCATTTATCTTAATTCATTATAAAAACCATCAAAATAAATTAAAAACTCCAAATATAGAACTGAAATAAAGTTTCAACATATCATAGTTTCATGAATTTTAATATATTACATACATGAGTATCAAAAATATTACAGCATTCGTCAACAATCACAATAATAGTTCATGAAATAAAATATTACTCTCAATATTACATCATTTTTCAACAGCCACAATAATAAACAACAACAACATGAGCAAAAACAATAAAAATATAGTTATAGCAAGATAACAACAACATCCATAGATAATGTAGTTTTGCCGATTTTGTTGAGCTTGCATAACAGTAACTACATCCTCCAACTCTTCCTGCACATGACCACCCACTTGCAGACGTTGGTGCATGTCATCCAACCATATAAATGCACGATCATGTGACTAAATTAAAAAAAAAAAAAAAAAAAAAAAAAAAAAAAAAAAAAAAGTTGTACATTATTAGAATGCACTTGTAACATTAAGATGTAGTTAAAATATTCTTATTAATGCAAAGAAAATTGTATACCTCCCAAGCTGGACATCTATAGAATGATCGTCCATAATTCTTAGAAGTTCCAGCCGTATAAAGATTCATTCGACCCCTTCCACATGCACAAGGTGGCCCGTCACCCTGTATCTTATACATGACTGCATATGTAAACTATAAGACTGATCCAAAAAAGTTAATAAAAAATATAAAGTTAATCAAAATAGTTATTACAGTTATCCAAATCCTAAGAAATAAATAAAATAAAATAGTTGTTACAATTATTCAAATACTAACAAATGGAACACGTATTAAGTAATTATTACAATTATCCAAACATGGTAAACATGTAAATCCTATTTCAAGGGTGATGACTTGCATTCCATATAGTATCGGCAATATAATCGCGTACAATATCCATTGGTTGCGAGCGAGACTGCGACACATTAGGTTGAACATCAACTTCATCATCTCCAAAAATTTCATCTATCATTGCCTCTACAGTTGCATCATTAAATATTAGATCTACATGCGCCTCCTTTCTTATAAAGTTATGAAGTGTGTAGCAAGCTAAAACAATAGCAACTTGAGCTTCAAACTTATAAGGGGGCATTTGCTTCAAGATGGAGAATCTCATCTTAAGCATCCCAAAACAACGCTCAATTATATTTCGTAATGATGAATGCCTGTGATTATAAATTTCCTCTCTACCTTGGGGTTGCCATAAAACCCGGTTGATTGGCATACCCGGAGTCCACTAAATAATATTTCCCTACCATTTTACAAACTATAAGGCACGTTTGGGAACCATGATATTTAAAATAAGTATTGCAAAATTATTAGATGAATGACGTTTACCTTCTAGAGGCATTGGGAAATGCAAATCCTCATTCTTAATTGTCTCGTTCAGTATCTTAGAATCATTAGCAGACCCCTCCCATCCAGCTACGATGTACGTGAACATCATATCAAAATCACAAACAGCCATTACATTTTGTGTGGTATCCCCCTTCCTACCACGAAATGGTATTTGCTGGTCCACAGGCACATTCGCATGGACATGAGTTCCATCAAATGCCCCAACGCAACCCTTAAAAAAAGGGTGGTACTTTTTTGACTTCCTTATATGGTTGAGAACTTGGGTAAAATCTGGGGCGACAATAATCTGTTTCCCTAAATCACAGACTTTTTGTAAAACCGCGTGGAAGTATTTTGAAATTGTATAGGTAGAGTGATGAAATCTTTCTGCGACCGCACGATTCCTTTCATTATGAGCTAAAGTAAACAAGAATATGCCAACTTGTTCATAAACACTTACACCTGTTGAGTCTTTCAACCCTAATCACTTAAGCTCCCCACACAACTTCAAAAAAACAGGGGTAGACATCCTGAAATTTTCAAAACATCTACTTTCATGTCCATGCAAGATCTCCATTATATATGCTTCCCCGATTAAAAGAGAATCCCTATAGGGTCGTTTCTCGTAATGTTTCTTATAATAGTCCAACATACAAGCCATTATGATGACACACTCATTCTCCCCATCACCATCATCATACAAGTCAATTATTATCCTAATATCCATCTATATAGTATAACATTTAACAAACATTATAAATTACAATAATCTCAACCAAAATACCAAATAAAAAAACAAAGCAAGACAACAACTAAAATCAAAACAAGCGAAATAGTTATATTGTCATTACAATGAAACCAAATAGCATATCAACGAGTGTACTTAATATTACAATCACCCAAAGTCATAGCAAAAGATAATAAGAAATAAAAGCGACGCAAAAAAAGTCATAATACGTAATAGTACAGTCATCTAAAGTCATAATCAAACCAACATGCCAAGTCAAATTCCATTGATCCAACCAACACTCTTATCATCAGGAAGGTCATTAAGAAAGAAATCCCTCCAAAGTTCATCATTACGTAACATCTGGGTGACCTTAGCATATTATTTCATATTAACGCCCTCCAACTTATTCAAAATGTAACAACATAATTTAAAATCACCCTTTGTCTTATCCGGAGAATTGACTTCAACCTGCCCAGCTTCATGCCCTGTTTTCATATTAGATGATGAAGAAGCGACTATGGCCCTTTCAATTCGATCTGTTTTCTCTCTACAAGCCTCACTCATTATCTCCATGACACGATCCATTGTGGAGGCAAAACTCTCTTTCTTTGGTTTCTTACCACGAGGGTTAGGAGAAGGATTGAACTCATGACCGCCTAACTCAGCAAAATCATCATTAAGGTCAAATGAGGTATGTGTGCCTTCATGGTGTACGGGGGATTGGTTGAGAATGGGTGGACTGTAGGAAGTATGGACATGTGCACCTGTAGCGTGTGTGCCTCCAAATATGGTGGTGAGCTTATCAAAATGATTGCATGGCTTCTTTCGATACTTACCATATTGGGAATTCACCTACAAATTATTAAATTACTATCAATATTAAGTTAAGTATAATTTTTTGTAAAATCAACATAAATTTATTTAAAAAACTAACCTTGATCAATCTAGTCCATCTTTCATTTTCAACTATAACCATGTCCGTCTCAGCATTAAATCCCACGCCTGTTTCTCCTAACAAACTCATAAAGGCTCTGTAGTCTACCCTCATGTGGTTGAATTTGCTCTTAACTTGTTTCAGTTCATAGTTCTTGCCTGTACGGATAGTCATACCTTTCCGTATATTCTTCCAACCATTTGGAGTAAAAGTTGTGTTATTCCGATTACCAACATAGACTTCTTCCTCCATGCAGATGATTAAAGCTTCAAGATAAGATTTATCCCATACTAGTTTTCCATCATCGGTATTGTCTGTAAGGTCCTCTATTTCGGAGTCCACCACATTGTCAACATTGATATCCATCTAATTAATAAAAATGTGTTAAAAGGGTCATTAACAACTGTAATATCATCTTAAGAAAGTACGAATACATATATATAAGTTGTCATAATAATATGACTCAACATGACTTCTACAACTTCAGTATCAGTAGAAGTTTAATTTAACCATAATTGAATAAGTATTGAGTAGTGCTTACTTCAATGGTCTTGTTGATGTACTCTATATTATAATACCATGAGGATGTTTTGTGCATTTACACTTATAAATTTTCAATTGAGGGCAACGAATACCTCGTCTACTATAATTTTCAATTGAGGGCAATGAATACACTTATAAAAATTGTTAAGAAAAGCACAATCACCCAATTGTGCTTGTTACTGTTTCGCCTATTCTTATTTGTTCATTAGAATCATATCTTTACATGCTACTGTTTCGCCTATTCTTATTTGTTCATTAAAATTATATGATGCAAAATTTTTTGGTAGTTTTTGTCAATCATACACCTTTACTGTTAAAAATGATTATTATGTATATATGTTGTATATTCTTAAGATATCTAGATGGAAGTGTTACGAAATGTATCAGGTTCAAATCTTCACCTATCTATAAAAAATTTTTAAAATTGCATTTTGTCGCTCGATTTTGTGTAGAGTTTATTTATTTAATTTTCTTCTGTTGTGATGAAACAAGCCTCTGCCATGGCAATTTTGGTGCCCCTATACCAATGTAAGAGATGGATTTGGAGTTTTTTATGCATAGGATCACTGTCACACCCCAAGTTTCGCATAGTACTTCCCATCTAATACTCAAATATGAATGTGTACTAATAAATCCTCTTAAATATTGGAACGTTTGAGTGAAAAGAAACCAAAATTGGTATTCTGTAATTCTGGGTGGTTGTTCAACAAATTCTCATGTGACAGCCTTCATCTTTTCATAGTATACTGTTGGTGGTTAGCCGTTGTCCTACCATAAGTTTGAGAATGTGCAATTTAGGTGAGGGTCAAATTTT